GCCCCCATGGGTCCCGAGGCCACGCCCCCTCCACCTTTCGCGCCGCGGTGCTCCCTCCGCTTCCCGCCCTCCCGCCGCCTGAGGGGAGGCTCGGCCCGGGGACGCTGAGGGGGGCTGAACGCCTTTATTTACCGAGACAACACCGGCACAACGGGGCGGTTTCTCCCTTATTACAGCTCCAGAAGAGCTCCTCGCGTCTCGCTGCGGCCGCGCGTCAGGGAAAAGCCGAGAGACTGGGATTTTTCTTCACACCCAAGTCTCAGAGATTAAATTAATCACTGCAGGACAGGAAGAGAACATGTTCTCCTCATTAAACTTTGACAAATGGGGGTAGGTTGCTGCTCTGAAACAGTAATTGTGTCTTATTTCCTCCAAGCGTTAGGCAGAGTAGTCAATATTAAAGAGTATTTTTAGTGAAGGGTTAAGTAGTCCTGTCTGCTTTGGAATTCTCTGTGAATAGATGTTATCTGCGGTTCATCCGAGAGGAGAGCTGGACTTCCAGGAACCTGACACGGCCTCTGAGAGCCTCCCCCTGCTCCTGGAGAAACACCCTTTTCTCCATCACGAGCTCTGCTAAAGCAGAACTTGCCTTAGTAAGCACACCCACTGATAAAACTTCTGTTCAAAAAGCAAAATCGTACAGACCATCTACAGTCCTACGTCCCATTCACGAGCTTTCTGAGATATCCATCCGTCTGTCAGAATTCATCCCTGAGGCAAAGAAAAACCAAGAGTTACTATTAGTGGCCTTCAGTTCAGCGGCAGAACCAACATGGCTACAGTGCTTATTAAAGTGCCAGGTTCAAAAAAAAAAAAGGAAAAAGAAAAGCTTAAGTCCTCAGTCTGCAACCCCTGCCTTATAGAAAATGCATCCCACTTTCCTGCTGTGCCATACCACAGCCAAGCCTCTTTCTTCTCCTTTTTTGACAAGCAGCATCTGCGAGGAATCCAGGACTCTGTCAGTAAAGCCGGCAGCCAAGAAGAGCAAGCTCACAGGGACAGCTGAGAGGAAGAAGCGTTTCTCAAGGGAGAGCAAATTTTTACCGAGGCCACTGCTTTTCCTTATCTGTCAGAGGAACATAGATCACGCCCATCAGCTGCGTTTCGACGATCTGCCCGTCGCTGGTTTTGTCGTACTGCATCAGAACTTGGTTTGCGCCTTCGGGACCAACAGGCAGTATCAACCGACCTCCGGGCTTCAGTTCATTCAGCAACTGGCAAGCAGAGAAATCAGAATCAGCAGAGCCAGAAAGAGAGACAACAGAAGTAAGCCACGCTGTGAAGGTCACGACACCTTGAAAAACACAAGCTTGCCAGCTCCATATAAAACAGGCAGAAAAAAGAAGAGTCCAGTGGTTCCATAATTATTAGTTTTATCACAGCTACTGATGCAGGCAGCCCACAGCAACAGACCAGCACGATCACTCTTACCTCCTTCGGTACAGTTGCTGCTGCTGCTCCAACATGAATGGCATCGTAAGGAGCCTCTTCGGGGTATCCCTGCCTGCCGTCTCCAACTGCAGGAGGAAACAGCATGCAGAAAAGACTTCTGTTCCAATAACAACTCCACACAAAAAATAATTCTTCCTATATTCTTTCAGTTGAAATCTAGATGATGGAAACTTCCTAACAAGATAGTGATGGCAATTTGAATTTTGTTGGTTTCCTTTTTAAGAAGGGGAAGAGATTCCTGGAACTGAACCATGCTAGAAGGAGGAATAGTCAAAGCCAGGAGGGCCTTTAAATAACACAGTGGCTTTGTGCAGGCTTGAGATTCCAGGTACAGGAAAAGCTCACTCAAGTTATGCTCCCCAAAAACCACAAATAAACTAAAACCCAGATGTGGTACAACCACTCTCTTCTGAAGAGAGTCTCTTACTGAATTAAGATGGCCACTATACACTTGGAAGTAAGGTGTATGGTAGGGCTGCCTGTAACGTTAAATGCTGCTTGTTTACACCGTAGGGTTCAGGCTGGTATGGCACAGCCTTTACTGGCATCACCATGCCAAGCATCAAGACAAACCAGAACAACTGCTTCGAGAAGCAGAGCTCCGCAGGCAGACAGAGGTAACGCACATTCACCAGAGAGAACAAGCATCAGCGTCCCCGAGAGCTCACCCACAAGCTTTACACGGCCAGAGCTGAGCAAAGTTGGATCATCTTCTTGGACGTTTCTGATGGATTCGTGTACCAGCTCTTTAATGTGCTCTACACCCACAGCTTTCCCTGTTGGGCCCATCTGAAAAAACAAACAGCAGGCAAACACCTAATGCCTCCTGCATGGCGGAGATGGATTGTATAGGGCAAGTTACTGTGGGGACTGGAGAACTTCCAGGAAGAAACTCCAGAGCAGAGTTTCTGACCACGAGGTGCAAATCCTCTGTCCCCTTGGTTTTAAGGGTGAGTAGTCCCAGTTGTAGTAGCTACTTGAGGGATACACAGACATGGCCTGCGGGGATTCCTAGTAACCCTTCATTTCTAAAGAAATAATTATTTAGTAGAATTAGCAGCTTCCATGGCAGGGCCAGTTCTTGACTAACTAACCTCCTGAGTAACTAGACCGGCTTTCTAGCACTTCACAGAAAGTAATTTCAGGAGTTTGGAAAATAAAGAAACAGACTGTGACCACTTAAGAAACAAACTAAAATGACCCTACAATGGCCTTGCACAGTAGATTAACACCCCCCTCTCGATCTGAACTGGGTTACCATACAAAACATCTCATAGCAGATACAGATTCCAAAAATGACTGTATCTGTTTTTACTACAAGCTGGTCTGGGAAGAGTTGACCCCTCCCTCCCTCCCACCTCCTCCTCTCCCCGCAAAAAGCACATGCCAGCTATGGCCAGCTGCCGGTCCTGAGGCACCTTACCAGCCCGAACTGGAGTCCCGTGAGCTTACCATCCTGGCAAAGCAAGCAGTAAGATACCCGCTTCCAGACCCGACATCCAGCGCTTTCGCACCTTCCACAAGCTGATCCTTCAGCAGTTCCAGCGCGTGGGCATGCTGCGTGGACAGCGAGTACAAGAAGGTGTGAAACATCCCGTTTCTGTTTTTTCTCCTAACACTTTTTCAAGTTCTAAGCATTATCTGCTTCGATTTAAACACAGCACACCCGGTGTTTTGTCTGACAGTGAAATTCAGCTGTTGAAGCTGGAAGATTTTTTTGCAGAACAACATTTAGGAAGAGGTTCAGTAATAAGAGGTGAAGCAGCAGGAAAAAAGGCCTCATGCAAAAAAGGGACAACATTAACGGTTAGCCTCAGCTGCACAGGGTTCCTGTCTAAGCACACTTCTAAAGCAACTTAACGAGTATACGGCAAACTCTTCTTAAAAAGAAAAAAGCTTCACATATACAGTTGCCTAGAGAAACAAGGGCGATAATCATGTCCATGGGGTCTGTTTCACCTTTCTGCTTTAGTATGTAAGAAAAAATAAAATAAAAAATGGCAAACAATCTCCTCTACTTCTGTGAAAAGTGGAAAGTTTCATCTTACCATATGAGGTGCACTGATTGTAGCCTTGTATCCTGAAAGGAAACGAGTGACAAAAGTTACACGGTCATTTTAATTGTCATTTCTTTCTCAGTATGAACAGCTCTTTATTCTCCCCCACTTTCCCCTAGAAATACGGACACACTCTGCTCTTTTGCTGCACTAAAGCACTTCATCAACTCAAAGCCTCCTCCTGGAGGGTTGCTAACGAGCGCAAGGTGGCTGCACAGCTTCCGCTCTGAGCAACCGCTGAACATTTTGAACGCAGAAAAGCTGCGCGGTCCTTTCCTCTGGATCCCACGGGTGAAATAGGGATGGGCTTTGCTCTACGTGACCTCTCGTAAAACCCAGCATGGAGAACGCTGAGCCACCTCATGCCCCTCCATCAGCACAACGAGCACGGTCAATGCGCTCACCGTAACAGTGGTGATGCTTTGCATTACTCACCGATAGACTGAGGAGAATCCATGTATGGGAAATATTTGATGTAGTGACCTCTGTCAGTAGCCAGCAGCACATCAAAGACTCGCTGGGATTTAATGATCCCTTTTTCTGGGAGAAGAAGAAAACAGAGACAGAAAGGACTTAAATCCTCAGCGCTGTGGCAAGAAGAGATTTGGAAGGGGGGAGTACAGTTCAGGGAGCTGGTGGAACTGGGAGAATTCAACCTTAAGAATCTCAGAACAGACAGAAAGCAAAACCGCAGGTGGAAGTCTGTCCTTTTCAGTTTCTGCTGCACCAGATGAAATCAGGTTAGGGTCCCCACCATCGGCCCAGCCTCTCTCAGAGGACGGTGACTTACACCCACAACATTCCTGGGACTGCCCAACGCAATGGGAGATAAATAGAGTCATGCTGCCACTCCTCAAAGCAGAGACTCTGGCTTGGGTTTCAGGAGCGCTGGCATGGCAAGTAAACTAAAAGTTACAAGCAATAACCGGAGAAACATTCCACATCCCTTCACACCTCATCTTAGAGGCAGCTCTCACAGGGGAAAAATCAGCTGGAGCAGCAGGGCAGGTTCAAAGCCATTTGTAAGCGCGTTCCAGAGCTTTCCAGAGCGGGAGTGTCAGCACGACACCGATCCCAGGGCACCTCACTGGGGGGTAGCACACCCTGCCGAAACGCTCAGCGCCTGCGGGCTCAGAGCTTTAAAAAGGTGTTCAAAAAGGTGTCGTGCATTTACTGCTCCAGAGGAGAAGTCCCTCCCTGCCACTTCTGACATAAAGTCTTGTTTCCAGTTACAAACAGAACGAGTTCAGATGGGGACAGATGCCGACATTCAGGCAATAGCAACTCCAGCCCTTCAGAATGAACAGCATCACACTGTACAGCCCTAAATATCCTCGCAGCGAAGCGCCAACCGGTTCTATGGCAGCTTTGGGACATGCTCTGAGCGGGAGCCCGCGCCGGTACTCACTGTAGAGGTTGTTGACCAGCTCCGGGTGCGTCTTTCCGCTGGAGGTCCAGGCCATGGTTCTGGCGAAGAGCAGTCCCATGAGTGCGAGC